GATTAGGATCTTTCATATGCCCAACAACATAGAGAATCAACCAGCGGATAGGCGAGGGCACGCTCCCTCAATCCGCGGTCTGCTTTTAGTTCACTCTATTGAGTGGTTGGCTTTTTGAGTTGAAGATGACCCACACTCCAACTACCCCTCAAGTGGCAATCTCACTGGTGTACCCAGCGCCACTGAGGGTGGATCTGGACAAACTTGTCGCCATTTGCTGGAGCATGTCCGGCTTATTAAACTAATGGAATGTAGACATCTACGTAGAGTTGTAAAGATTTTAAAATATTTAGTTTGTATCTTGTATGCTGTGAGCCCGAAACTGCTCCACACACGATCTGACATCATCATGTTCCTTCTGATCACTCTGAGTTCCCTACACTGATCATCCGGCATATGCATCAGGGTTCTGGACTGGTTGAAGTGTACTAGCAAATCTCTAACAAGCAGCAGCTTAGCATGAAGGGTTCGGGAGTTCTGACAGCAAAAACCGAACCCCCTTTGAGTCCGACCCTTCCGAGATATTGTATGAGCACGAGAGTGACCTTACGCTGGGAACCGCCGCCCAGTAATACCAGAGTCACTGAGGAAGATCAGCATCCACAGCGCAATGGCGACGCGTTCAATTTGGAAGTAAAGCAAGACAAAGTCTGCTTTTTTCCTGAGGTCGTTCGACCCCACTTGGCAGAGAATATTCATAAAAAATTGGAGACTTCCAGGCTAGCACTTCTTTCACCTCCTATATGTGGCCCTATCCTCGTGTCAACAAAAGACAACTCAGTCTGGCCTCTAGCGCTCTTCTCCAGGAAGAAACTTTACGCTAAGTGACATGATCTCAAACTCGACTTCCCATCATTCTTCGATCAATAGCTCCTGGAATTCTAGAGATAAGGCAGCAACTAAATTTCTTTGTTTAGGCAATACTTTATAGATGACAGAGGTGTATGTTTGGATGAGCAAAGACTCCACATAAAAAAGAAAAAAATTTCAATTCAAGAATACCCAAAGTGATTCACTAATTATGGGACAACCTAATATAAATACAAATAGCAGTCGAATATGTGGAAACTCTCATTTCCAGCCTACATAGCGTGACCAAAAAATTTTCTTAACTCCAAACAACATGTAAAAAAACGCGTGATCATCATGACTAACTTCATTTATTATTCAAAAATATGTGGGAAGACACCATTTTTTCCAAAAATGGCACATTGAAAGTTCGGAAATTTTTGGTTTTCGATATAACTCCTGGTTTTCCAGTTATTTCATGTTATATGATTTACGTACAGGTGAGTTCATATTGAGCGGTTCTGCTAGTTTCACAATAGATGGTTGCTCAAGCTTCTCAATGGACAACACAGAAGGAAATGGTTGCCCTTGATTTATTCTCGACAACTTCGCCATAATCAAGATTTTCGCGCTCTCGAAGAATCGTACTAGTTGAGTGGACAGCAGTTTTACTATGAATCTTACTTTTCCTCATTAATTTTCTACATTTTTCCTGCTTGTGAAAACGTCGTCGTGGAAGTGACGAGTGTTCGGAAGATGTATCATTAGAAACAGCTAGACAGCTCTGAGATTCAGAGGGCCCATTTTTTTGCACGTTGACATGAGGTGAATTGTAGGCGGCAGGAAGAAAAAATTCACTTCAAGACGAATCAAGGTCCATTTCTTGGACGGGTACGGGACGTTTTCGGATGTGGACCATGTGGGACGTTCTGGGTGAAAGAACTTTTAGTTGAGATACTCAATCCTGACTGTCGCCCCAAACGGAGGATTCATAGATGAGTATCTTCCGTACCATGGGCATGGTCCACTTTTTGGTACCAAAAAATATTGATACGGCCGCGCAAAAGGATGTTAGAGAAACTGCGACGTTTTTCCTGTTCGTTGAAACATGCCGTATAAAATGGATTCTCCACCATGATATTGATTTGCTCCCTACATGATGTTGACCCCTTCAGCTCGGAGGAAACTGCTAAATTTCTGAATTCAGGAGGCAAAGTTTCGTCAATGGCTTTCACTGCAACTACTGTAACTTACTTGGGAAAGAGGTCGAATTTCCTACATACTGAAGAATGCAATCGTAACCTAAGGCTTATGAAGAGTAGGATTCGACTTCACAATTCAAAAGTGATGTTATAAAGGAGTTAACGCCCAGAAGAAGCGCCACCATCTCATTCCACTATTCAGTGAAACACTAGTTCCTCCCATTATTATAAACTATTGCGTCCGACTTTCAAATTCCAAAAAATACAATTTTTCAGTCCTTTAGCACAAGGTCACAAATCGCATTTTCTTCATACGATGAATTGGTAAGGGCCTGTAGTTCGATGATCGTGCTATTTCAAAAATGGAATTTTTTTCGAACTTCTGACATCTGCTGTATCTCCGCACATGTTACCTATATTTAGCAAGACGAGAAGAGCGTTGAGCGCAGACCACACAAAATAGTCTCCCATCACGTCTTGTGCTCTTCGGTTCATACAGGAGAATTTATCTGATGAAAGTAGCTTGGACTCAGAAGATCACCTACAGAGCACTGGATCCGCTAGTCAAATGAAACGCTTGTTCACGCAACCAACACTTCATCCTTAGACGAACACAGAAGGTGCATTCTTCTTCATCGGACTGATTTGCAAGGCAACCGGAGGGGCCCTCTGTGCGCGTTGATTGTCAGAAGTTCTTTCGAAGCTCCATCAAATTGCAAGTAGGCAACAGCGAAACTGATTAGTGTAAATACCGGTCCACCGTACTGCTTAGTGAAGACATCGTCTGACGTAGGCAGTGAGCTGGTGCAGCATCAGCGCGTCGTTGAGGACCTTGAATAATCGGCGCACAAGCGAGGGGCTCATTCGCCTTTTTCACCACGACGATAGGTGCAGCTCACTTTGAATATTTGACAGGCGGAAGCACGTCTTCTACTAGTAGGTGGTCTATTTCCTTTTTAAGATCGGCGGCGTTGGCGTACGGTACCAGTTTCTCCTTTTGAATACAGACATAGTTTTTTTGATTTGGCCATTAGAAGATTGAAGCTTGTTTCGTTGACAAGACAAACGCATTCCGTCATTGCTATTGAACTTGCGTCAGTAGTATACGTAATGAAGATAAATCCAGTTTTGGGATTCGCAATCATCCTTGGAAGTTGATATTGGAATCCATTTGTGTACGTAGTGCATAAGCCGCGACCATTTCTCTGCTTTGTTTAGATTTAGCGGCTCGTCCCATTTATAGTGATGATTCCACGGTTGTTGTTGCTGAAAATGGTTCGCCTTTTCTAACAATGGTATGAACCATCCGAGGGGATCGTATTTCGAAGCAAGCTGCTGTGCTACGACGCGTTTGTCGACGAAGTTTTTCTTGTCGATATTGGTTTGAGCTTTTAGCTGAATTGATCTGTTGTCGAATTCCACGGTACTCCAAGCGCTTTGAGACTATGATTTGGCGACTGGTCGCAAACTGATGAAGACCATGATGAATCATTAGCGATGGATTCAGGTAGGTCCAATTGTATATTTGAGAAAATTGTTTTCAGATCGGCGTATTTCTGAATAGCTTCTACCTTCAAATCTGCTCAAACAAGCAAAATGTTGACATAAAGGTTCCTTGCAATTTCATTTGTCAGATCTTTTTTTTTCACATAGTGTTTCAGATGATAGCGAATCATTGCACTGAGAAGGAAGGGGAAGGCATTGATTGCCACATGTTACGCGTGTGAGTCGGTAAACGGCAAGATTTTCTTGAGTGAGCTCCTCCTTGATTTTCTTTACCCAGAGGCATCGGATAAAGAACACCATGTCTGACTCTTGCATGCGTACTTCTTGTAGTGTGCTGATGCGTCGAACAAGGTACGAAATTTTGTGGTTGTTTCATATCAGATTTTTACGAGTTGGTTAGGGAGATGTTTTTTGTCGTCGGTGAATCTTTCGTGGTGGTCGCATCTCACCCCATCAGGATCCGTGGTGGTATGTTGCCCTTTTTCAGTGGTGGACACACATGAACATATAGGTTTTCTTCTCATGAAATTTATGTCTTTCTTTTCGAGATCATAGCGGGTGACATTGGGAGTAAATGTGTCGTGTATGAATAGTCGAAGTATATGTTGTACACCTTCTTGATCCTATATAGCGATGGATGTAACTGGGCACGTAATTTCTCGTTGCCCTTTTGTTCCAAATGTGCTGCGTTTCATTGCTGACAACAATTGTCGTCCAGAAAGAGGTAACTAGCTTGCAAAGGATAGTAGTTAATCTGTTTGCTTTGCTTTCATACTTTATTCAAGTATGTATTTTGCATACACTCTGAAGGATCATTCATTCAGATGTCTTTTCTCTCCTCAAGACGTATTGAGGAATGTAATCAATCGACTGTGGAGGAATCAGATCGACAGATAACGGTTCGAGCATGAGAGCAGTAAATAAGCCGCGCGAGGAAAACTTCAGGGCCCAGTGGCTGGTAGCAGACGTCAAAGAGAATGACGGTTTCTGTCACTCCAGATCGCGTAGAAGTTGGATCCTCAACAGTTATATGATAAATGCAAATAGCTGCCGCTTATTCTATTCTATCTCGAAAGAATTCCTGTATTCCAGTGCATCTTTAGTCGATTATTAGTACAATAAATAGTTGTTTATTCAGGTCGAAGTTCTTGTTCTTTTTTTCGGATTAGTTATCACGTAAGAGATATAGTAGCTACTTGATACACGCGCTCATGATTGATCTGTATGCCGTGCAGTGCAGATTCATCCACTCGAACGAAGTGTGTTATATTTGGCACACGCCGCAGAAGGGGAATGGAGCGCGAAGCGGATGGTTGAGAGGCTGCAGAAGAAGGCCAAGGTACCCTGCATACCTTTGTCACGCAGCACATATGGTGTAGCTATGCAGCAAATCAAGAATGCCACTGGAGGATCCAGAATATTAGTGGCCACTGACATTGTGGAACTTGGAGGAAATTTACGCAGATCTGGACCTAGGCATCAAATGCACGTATAGTAATGTGAATGGACATGTCAAACTCGAGACGGCGAGTATCAAAGAAGCATCATGAGTGCAAAAGCGAGGTTGGATTGGGCGTACAAAACCTGTAGATTATTATCTCTGGGGTACGGAGATCGCACTTGGTATTATGGACAAGCAATACGCAAGCCTGTTAGACCTCACGTTCTGTGCGATGATGTTTGATCGCGGCTACAACATGTACGGGGAAGAAGACTTAAACACTACTTTTCCTTTGCAGATAGAAATTGGTGTACTCCGCACGCATACCACAACTATAACACGTGTTGAAGTGGAGAGACCCTATTTGGAGACCTGGTTGTTCTGTGATACAATGTACAAAACAGTAGCATTAGCCTCACTAACAGTTTTCCTGATGCTCATCTTTACATTTTTTTACCGCTTGCACAAGCAGAATCCTCAACTGATGCTCCGCTCGTTTCTACACCTTTTTCGAATCATTCCGTGCATGCTGCAGCATCCCCTTACACTGGCTGAAGCGTACCGAAAATGTGCATGGAAAATTGCTTTGAACACTTTTCACTATCACTACAACACGACGTAGGTCCCAAGTAGATGCCAGTCATGTAAGATGTCTAATTCCCTCCGCGGAAAAAACTACTAGCTTCGTTAGAACCGGAAGGGAAAGAAAACCACTCCGGTAACACTGCTCCGCACCAAGATCCAGTAATCCCAACGATCGAAGTAAAAAACTGGCAAAAAAGCGTGACACCACACAGGAATCGTCTATAACTCAGTTTAGCTCCTTTCAAGATAGGTAGCGAAGCGAGATACCTTCTTACCAATTGGAGAATTGAGGCTTATGGATAATACTGAAGAATAGACTAAAGAAAGTAGCAGTACTACAGATTCGGCAGCTAAGTGTTCCTTCATCGACACTAAGCTCGCAGAAGAACTGGGCTTACCAACGTAAGGCACAACTCCTCTTCGCGTTAGGACATTTGGCTCTAATAACCTGCAGGAGTGTGTAAGTTAAAAGGTCTCTTTAAAACGACTCTTCCGGGTCAAGATGAGTATTTCATCGCTTGTTATGCACATTATTGAATGCGCTTGAAAACCGTTATCCTCCTTTCCAGTGAACAAAATGATTCACATACATTTGTATGAGAAAATTTGCAAATAACTCCTGTTTCAAAAGTTTAAAGCCACTTGCAACGCAACCCAATTTTCCCCCAAAAACAGTGAGTATCGTACATATTAATTAGTGTGCTCTCCTTGTTTAGGAATGAGATCATATAGACGATTTGGCATAGTATCCGTAAGCTTCCAAAGTTTAGCAGGATCTAAATGTTACCAGGACGTCTCGATGGCATGTCTGAGGTCTTCCACATTACTGTACTGCTTTCCATCTGCGTAAATCTATCTGAAGATAATCCTCCAGATGTTTTCTATAGGATTTAGATCTCGGCTGCAGGCGGACCAATCCAGTACACCGATTTCGCTGATATTAGGCCAGTGCTGCGTGGACCGGCCACGATAGATGGTGGAGTTATCGAAGTAAAGTTTGACGATATCCACGTACTTGTTGAAACGTACTTGTTCTGCTTCGGAGCAAAGCTCCAGTCACTTTCACTAGCTATCTTGATATTGTAACTGCTCCTTATCCAAATCAAGTATAAGCATATCACTTTTTGGGCTTCGCGATTAACTTGAATACAATTTTTTACCAAGTTTCACTCACAGTGTCTCTGAACGGCGTGATTACTTTACAGAACACATTTTTACTATGAGAACCGTGTGATATCGAACAAAATAAAGAACTACGACGGCCAGTGAGGTGATCCTATCTTTGCTTAGATTAGGTGTGCTTCCTGGACAAATAACTTGAATTTTTCTGAGTCTAAAAGAATTGAGAATCAAAGTTTCGACTTATTTCTTCTGCTGTAAACCAGACTATTGACGTATTTGCTTCGAATGCGCAACTGTGATTCAGCTCTTCTCACATGATTTTTTATATGTGGTCGTAAAAAAAATGCTCGGGATGAATCGCTCACTCTGCCTTTCTCAGATCAAAAGGCAGTTTTTAGTTTGGCAGTTTGTTTAGTTCGTTGTAGACAACACTTATACGGCAGTATAAGCGTCGATTACCATATGATAGCAAGCAGTAGTAATTTTTATGTCTTATCCCTGCCAATTCCTGCCATTTAGTCAAATATTTGAAGAATTATTTTGAGTCAATCCAGTGTCATTATGGCAATACCTTGGGATAGGTTCTGTAACCAGCGTTTTGTCACAGATATAACCAATTACACATATGGTGCTGGCGGCCTCGCCCAGGCTCTTGTTTTTTGCATAGGTCACACAAGATCTTTATTGATCGGGAGAACAACGGAAATATCCGGTTGATGATAAAAGATTTCATTTCAATTCGTTGTTCAGAGAGCCCCAAAAAGGTTGCGATAGGCCGCGGTATATATGATTCAATGGAGCAGTTTTTGCTCATCGCATCCACATAATTCTCACTGGAAATAGTAGCGAGCGTCAACCCTGTTGCCTCGTAAGCACATGATTAGTACTCACTACTCATTTTCGGCTCCGTGTCAACAGAATCGTTAGCATCGCCGCACTAGTGGGCGTGGCCACGACGGTGCGGCGAGTGGGCGTATACATTGCCAGGTATCGGATGTATGAATGGCGTGGTACTCTTTGAGCATTCCGATGAGAGTGATTGTGAATGACTGTTCAGCGGAACTTCTAATTGTTGAAACGTACTTTTTCTGCTTCAGAGCAAAGCTCCAGTCACTTTCACTAGCTATCTTGATATTGTAACTGCTCCTTATCCAAATCAAGTATAAGCATATCACTTTTTGGGCTTCGCGATTAACTTGAATACAATTTTTTACCAAGTTTCACTCACAGTGTCTCTGAACGGCGTGATTACTTTACAGAACACATTTTTACTATGAGAACCGTGTGATATCGAACAAAATAAAGAACTACGAGGGCCAGTAAGGTGATCCTGTCTTTGCTTTGATTAGGTGTGTTCCTGGACAAATAACTTGAATTTTTCTGAGTCTCAAAGAATTGAGAGTCAAAGTTTCGACTTATTTCTTCTGCTGTAAACCAGACTATTGACGTATTTGCTTCGAATGCGCAACCGTGATTCAGCTCTTCTCACATGATCTCAACACGCTGATTTTTTATATGTGGTCGTAAAAAAGATGCTCGGGATGAATCGTTCACTCTGCCTTTGCTCAAATCAAAAGGCAGTTTTTAGTGTGACAGTTTGTTTAGTTCGTTGTAGTCAACACTTATACGACAGTAGTGCGTTGGAAAATCATAGGACACCCCCCAAAAGCACAATACAGCTCACAGAATGTGAAAAATCGACGCGATTGACAGTGTACTCCATCACAAACCGTCACACCCTCATAACAGCGCTGAAACGAAATGAAACAGGAAAGTTCAAACACCTGTGGATGCGCCTCTCCATAACGATTTCTAGGATATACTGACGGTCAGGATTCGTTAAGTAGGTAACCGGCTTCACCGTCTAAGCTGGGACGAAACTCAATTCTGACGTCGAGGTAGAACAAAATTCGTTGAATTCTTGGGACTGTGGACGCGCTTAGCGTCCACACTCACTTCATCTTTTTTAAACATTTTTATTCGTGTTTCACAGTCATCCATGATGTGAAAGAGCTCTTCCATTTTATTTTTATTTACTTCCATTCCACATTTCGGAAATTTGGAAGCGTTTTTCACCAACGCCAAATTACGACGAAAGGGCTAGGAAGTGTTGAGCTTCGTATACAACTGGCAAAAATTTTGTTGTTTTCTGGAATGCACCGCAGCGGTTCTTCCAAAATTTTCTTCTAAAAACCGGTATGCGTCACATTCAGCTAACAGTAACACCACTCTTTTCCTTCCGAATTTGCATTTTTGAGAAGGGTAGGACCAACAAAGCAGCTCACCTTCTCAAGACCATGTCATATTGTTCACTATAAAGGCATAAATGATTATGGGCAAGTATCTACTTGAATAAGACAATAGGCAATACTTCCACCTTTGAAAAGGTTTCATGGACAAAGACTTCAGAAGTACGTCTTGAGAAGGTGAGCTGCTTTGGTGGTCCAACCCTTCTCAAGATACAAATTCGGAAAGAAAAGAGTGGTGTTATTGTTAGCTGAATGTGATGCATACCGGTTTTTAGAAGTAAATTTTGGAAGAACCGCTAAGGTCCATTTCAGAAAACAGCAAAATTGTTGTGCAGTTGTATACGTAGCACAACATTCCTAGCGCGTTCGTCGTAATTCCTACTGGAGTTGGTGAAAAACGCTTCCAAATTTCCGAAATGTCATAAAATGGAAGAGTCTCTTTCACATCATGGGTGACTGTGAAACACGAATAAAAATGTATCAAAAAGATGAAGTGCGTGTGGACGGTAAGCTGCTGTGTTCACAGTCCCAAGAATCCAACGAATTTCGTTCTACCTCGACGTCAGAATTGAATTTTGCCCCAGCTTAGACGGTGAAGCTGGTGACCTACTTAACACATTGACGACAATGCGAGTTTTGGCTTTTTTGGCCACGTGGGACCGCGGCGACTTTGCGGGCGAGCTCGCCACAGGTCGTTCGAGCAGATTTTGAGTGATAAATACACAACTAATGACCAATTCAAAACCAAATTAGTAAATTGTAATGAGCGCAACCTACCCAGGGGTACAGCAGTGGAATTTTGATCAAAAGACATGGAATAGCAATGAAAAAGCGAAATTTTTCAGAACTAGCTGCAATGGACCTTAAAGGTAATTTTACGTTGATTATTCCAATCAAAACACACATGTTGTCATCCCTAAAGTTCCTTTTCTACTTCTACTACTTTTTAAATCTTCATATTAAAAAAAGAGAAAGTAAACGAAAAACTTATTGAAATGAAGATTTCGTAGGTTCAGAAATCCTTCTCTAAAATTAAAGTATACGAGACCATTCTAAGGGCCACTATGTTTGTAGCCACGCTGAGGTCTCTTCCATGGAATGAATACAAGAAACTACTAAAAGAATCAGGCATGCGCGAAGAAAAATGAGAGCAATGGGTGCGGGGG